TTTTTATCCTTACCCCCCCCCCCCCCCCCCCCCCCCGCTCCATTTTGTCTTTGTCATTACAACCCCGGTAATGCTACAATGTCCTTACCCAAACCAGAGAAGTAGAAGTGCTATATAGAGCAATTTAGACAATACTGTAGTGCTGCATGAGTTATTACAGATTCAGCATTACCTCAATATGCTAGTGGCACAGACTATAATACCTCCTCAAGATAAGATAACACCTCAAGATCTTGGGGGATTTTGTGATCTTGGTCCTGAATACTAACATTAAACTCAGTATCCTGTAAGTAACAAAACTGGTTCAGAGCTTCCCTGCCAGGTTGCCCCCTGCATTTATTAAGCACTGAACTTAAAGCATTGACTATATCTAAGGTTTTCAAACACAGTATTAACAACTGTTACGCCTCAGACATCAAAAAGCATGGTTTTTGAAATACAAGTGTGATTAGAGTTACCAAGAGACTACATAATCCAGTGTTTGCAGCCAATCATTTCAGAACTTGTAAGCAACCTCACAAACACTCTGATCTGACAGTAAGGTACGCTGCAAGATTCTAGGCGGGTGGATCATTTTAAGACCTTTGTTTCAGTGCCCTACCATTTTTAAGTGGTATCTTTTACCTTAAGCATTGCAGTGAATTCCACAAAGTGATAATTTTTGTCTTCTGAAATCATCACTTTCAGAGTAAGCATGTCATATTTTGGATTTGCACTATACCATTTCTGTATATTAATTTTGTACTATTCTCTCGCCATTCATAAAACTGCAGCAGAGAACTTCCATTTCTCATATTTTATTTGTTCCATCTCTCTATATATCATATCTTTTTAAGTAAAACATTATCATTCATTTTAAAAAGACAAGTTCACTGAAGACTGACACTTTTTTCAACTTATTTCAGAAAGAAAATACTATACAGACACACACAATAAGCAATATAGATTCAAAGACAATATGCTTTCAAAAGTTTTCTCACATCTCTTCATCATCATCTATGAAGAGTAAGATTTGATCATTTTTGGAGGAGGAACTGAACTGTCATAGAAATCTCACCCGATGTCAGTAAGAGGTGGTTTGTCCCGGCCTCTCTTGTAGCAAAGAAAAAGTTCAGGACTCTTTAGACTTCCATAGTTTAAGTTGGCTTGAAGGGCTGTAGGGGTGGCTTCAACACAGGTATATCCCTCTGGGACAGTTTCACCAGCTGATTTAATTATCACAGCAATATCAGTAATTGGAGCCTTTGGACCAGTTGACTTTGTTTCATGTCGGCTTATTTCTTGGTCCAGGAGGGTTGCAGTATCTGTATCAGTGAGCCCTGCCACTACAAAATAGTCAGCCACTCGTGGACCTTTGTCTTCTATCATGGTTATGTCAGTACTTCCTGGGGAAAATAAAAAGAGAGAAATCAAACACTCTGCTTTCAAGCTAAACCCCTTCCCTCAACAAGTATGAGGATTTAAAACCTTTAAAGAAATTTTTGCAAATAAAAAATAGACCTCCTATATAGAGATTTCATGAAAATTCTAGGGAAACTCCAAAACAAACTTTGATTTCTGCGGCTCAAAAAGGTAGTATTGTCAGTAATTGGATTTCAGTTCTAGCACCGTAACAGTCATGTTTTAGCACAAGGAAGTTTAAGTGAGAAATAAGAACTCAGAGCTCCTAACACAGCAGCTACACAGAAAATTGCTTGGCATTAGCTATCAGACCACTGAAGCTCTTCACAGGCTATAAATTAATGCACTAAAAGCATCTGTATTTTTCTGCCATTGCTTAGTGAGTAATTTGACTGCAGAATTGTGCTGTGTTTTGGGGGTTTTTTTTTGAGAGAGAACAATTCGAAGTACAGGCTCACTAGTTTATCTTCTGCACATTTCATCCATTTTGTTTCATAATCAAGACCTAACAGTGCAGTCTTGAGACATTCGGCTGGCAACTGTAACATCTGGAAGTCGTTCACAAAAATCACACATCCAAACCCACATTTCATCAGCTGATCAGGCAGTACACATCACTGCTTCGCTGCACATTCCAGATCTGGAAAGAGTTGTTCTTCCAACACCAGCGATGTTCACTAAGTATATGATTTTAAAGCTGTGAAACCCAAGGTTCTGTTAAGAACAAAACTAGCTGACAGACTATGCTCAAATATCACGAGTACAATTTCAAGTACGTGATCTCATGAAATACCAATCTTTTTAAAAGTTTAGTGATATTTAAACATTAGTTGCAAAGCAATAAACCTAAATACTGTTATACTGCTTCAGGGAGCTAGGGACCACCTTCTTTTAGATCCCTGTGTTTCCATCACCAGATTTCTGGGGATCCCATCTAGAAAGCTAACCAAGAATGGAAGTCTGGTTCCCATCTTTGAAAACAAGACTGCTACAATTGCAAAGGTCCCACCTACCAAGGAGTAGTGATCCATGGGTATTACCAAATAGTAAGTGCACCAAAATTGAAAAGTTTCTTGCATGTAGAATGTCCTAGTCTGATAACTGCAGAAATATTGGCCTCTGCTAACAGAAAGGTGGTTTGGCAGAGACAGTATAATCCTGTTCCCTGCAACCTAGTTTCTCCTCCTGTTCTTAGCCTGCTCTTTCTTACTGAAATGATACTGAAAAGGTATTTTCCATCTTCACACTTCACAAAAACTTCTAAAACTTGTCATCAAAAGCGTTCTGAGTACTCAGCTGAAGGAAAAATCAGTTATTCATGCTACATGCTTACTAAGAAATCTTAGCATAACTTTATGCAACTTAGGTGCCAACCACTATATTGCAAGGCTCTGCAGCATGAGATGAAAGTAGGGAGGGGAGGGGAGGTAACTTCATGCAAATTTGTAGTACCTCTACACTCCAACTAACTCAATTTTTATTTTCTAACACTGAAATGACAACTTTTCAAATCCTTTCAAACCTGAAAGAAGAGTGCCTATACCCTTTAAAAGACTATTCTCTTCTGCAATATTTTTCCACAATGCTTTTCACAACATCACTTCAGGGTTCTCTAAACACTTTCGCTAACAGCTCTTGTAGGGCAATCCATAAACAGAGATCCTGGGAAGAGACAGAGAAGTGTTTGGCTCCCCTGAAAAGGCAAAGCCATGGGACAGCTACTCGCATGACTGAGCTTTCAGGCCTAAAATATATGGATACCATATCAACAGGAACAATAAAAGATTTATTCAATTTGTCAGGTGTTTGGTGCCTAGGTCTCCTGAAGAGTAACAAAATTACTCCAAAGCAGTAGCTACTTGTGAAGCTTCTGAATCACTGTCAGCTACAGAACTTGCAGCAGTTTACCCTTCTTGCTGTCATAAAAAACATGAAATTGGTCATAAAGCCCTTTACAGATAAGCAAGTCAACATGAAATGCAGGAGTAATGGCTTCAACTTAATCTCATATAAATTGGTGCTTCCGTTAAAAGGTCCCTCCTCATACTGCCACTGCTCATTCCCACCTTCACTTTTGTCCAGAACTATAGTTTGTGCAACCATGTAGTGAACTAGAACAAGGAATTGCTCTGGCTGAACGCTAACCTGGCAGAGCCTGTTGAGTGTTCAGCCAGAGCAGTTCTCCAATGATTCACTGTGTCAGCATAAAAGCAGCAGCAGTACACCCCTTTCAGCAGCAGCACTTACTTGGACTGGATTAATCATAAAATTGTTAAGTCTAAGCTGTTTCAGTTTGCCTTGTAGATGCTTGGACTTGTTCACAGATTTATAAAAATAAATTAATAAATAAACAAATAAACAAACCTCTCCCTGCTCCCCTTAAAGGAAAGGAAAGTCCTGAGCCAGAACATCATGTAATCTGGAAAGTGCTGTTTGCACTTCACATACATGAAACCAAATTACTGGAACAAGCTGCTGAAAACAGCAAAACGGTTGGCATCATATAGATGTTTCCTTTAAAAAACAAAACCTTTGTTAAATGATCCAGCCTTTTATTACCTGCTACATGTTCACACAGCTCAAAATCATGTTCTCTCAACGTAACATTAAAATCGTTGCCCACATTTAGTTTTAGCACACTGAGCAGGAAATAAAACAGTAACAATAACAGCATACAATGTCAGAAACCTCACAACAGTTTGTACTTTTAATCACAGCTGTAGTTCCTGGAATTCCACTAATGTTATCCTTGAATGTGTTTTAAAGTGAAAATTTAGGTTTCCTGGGTAAACGGAGGGAAAAAAAATTAAAGAGACCTGAAAACTTGAATAGTAAGATTTTGAAGGTTAGAATACAAAAGAAGAGAATCCATTCCCCAATTTTTACAAGTAGGGATCAATAAAACTGTAGCAATTGGTTGCTATGGAGCATACACTTATATCTATGATTATATATTTTTCTCTTAGCCATGGCTATGTTTTATTTCACAGAAACCCTGTAATATGTGGCAGGCAAAAGTCAGAGTCACCAGACAATTCAGCTGAGAAACCTGGCACACAAGCCTCCTATGTCAGCACAACGTTTAGCGAGTTTTTCAAAATGTTCCGAGCCTCTCAAAACAGTTCCCTTCCTTTTCCACAAGGATAAGAGAAGTAAGGTTTCAACTAAGCAGTACAACTCAGCTCTTCAAGAATTTATTCTCCAATTTCAGAAAGATTTAAAGCAACATGATCTCTCAAAAGAGACCTTAAAGTAATAGCTCTTAATTAAGCCATGGTTATCTTCTTTAATGCAATAGCTTTATAAATACAAATAGACACTAAACTATAAATTTGCGGATAGACACCAAAACACATGGAAACAGCAAATTCAGTTAGTCCAAGGATACTCTGCCTTCTGAACTGCAGGAAAAAAATAAACATATGATTTGTGGAGGAACAAGATGAATCCACTGCCATTTTCCACTATTTTGTGATACCTCACACAGGAATAAGTATGCACACCGCTGCTCTTGGTGGGAACAACAAGAAAAGGGAACAAACATTCTTCTAAGAGACCTTCTATTGTAAGTTTTATCATGGCAAGTTTTCCCCACCATAATTTCAAGAGATACCCTCCTCTGTCAGTTTCCTATGAGGAGGTTTCTGTACTTCACAAGACTAATAGGAAAACTCAGCATTGGGATTTTTATTGTTAACACCCCATTCCCTTGCAGGACAAAACCCAAATACAAAAAATTTCTAAAAATAAAAACTGTCACCTTGGTGTTAGATGATGAAAATGCAGGATATATTGAAAAAAAACCCAACATACAAGTCTCATGAAAGATTTTTTTTTTTTTAAGTCTACAAAGATACTTCAGTTACAGTCAAACTGAAAACAAAAATTGGGAATTCTGTTTTAAGAACATGAGCAATACTCTTTGAGGAATTACAAACCTCCAAGCCCATATAGATCCATAAGGACTATGGAGAAATTACTTAAGTGAAGTTAGTTTTCCCGTTCACTCATAGGTCACAATAGGAAAGTTTGCTATGAGCAGTTTAGGACCAAAATTATTTTTTAAATTAAAAAAAAAAGAAAAGAAGTCTTCAGAATAAAAGATGTACTTTTAAAATCCCCATGCTTTTCTAAAAGGAATTCCCACTAGAAGCAATTAGCTTTGTAGATGAAAAACAAAACCAGCCTGCACAGGCAACACTTAAACACACTTAGTACGACTAGTCTAAGTCAAGAGATCTATTTAGCAAAAATACGCAGGAGCAATCGAAACAAATTCTTTTCACTGCTAAGTGCCAGAAATACAGCAAAGTATTCTCCTCTCCCACAGTCCATTTAAGGTTGACCTCTCTAAAAAGACAACAGCCTTTCTCACAACCAAAATATAATTTTACAATTCTTCCATAATGTTCTATCAAAAATACAGCAACTCAACTATTAGTTTCCTATTAGGCCATAGCCCTTTCTTAAGGAGAGATTTTATAGTGAAAGTGCCTTGGGGAAAAGGTTTCCATTCTAAAGATCTCTTCTATGAATTTTGAACAATTATTAAAAAAATACGTTATTAGAAATCACTTCAGTTTATTGGCTGCTGTCTAAAACACCAGTTAGATTTTTCTTTCAATATAGCTAGACTGCTATTTCCTCTATTTACAGTTAGCTGAACCACAACAAAGAGTTGTTCTTGCAAAGATACAAAAATCTGTGAGCAAGTTACAAACAGGTACAACGAAGTAAAAATGACAATGTAAATAAGTATTGTATTTGTATTTTATTTCATAGCTATGTTGCTTTTATAACAGTTACAAGCTTTTAAATTCCAAAATGGCAATCACTAATTTAAAGTTCTCAGTCTTCATTTACAGAGATTGCCACAGCTGAGAACTCCTATTCTTTAGATATAAAAAAGTCTTCTCCTGCATTACCTGCAAAACACAGAAAAAGAAGTCTTCTCTAACACATACTCATTTGTGGAAATCTGCTT